CAACTTGTATCTACGCTAGTCGGCACGCACACAAATTTACAAATAATGATGCCATGGAATAACATTTCCCTCAAAAGTGGGAAAATTGTATCTTGCGTAACTCATCATTAAGTTAAAGGTGCCTACAGATTTGCCCGATTTTGTCGATCGTTACTGTCGATCGACAATGTCGATCAGGTGCCTACAGATATGCTCGGTTTTGTCGATCGTTACTGTCGATCGACAATGTCAAGTGACAAGAAATAAAAGAAAAAAATTTTTGGTAATCCTTATGGAAATGGCATTTATATCTGAATACACGACGACGGACACGACTTTTTCAAATAAATGCAATATGGTAGCCATTTTCGAGGTACTCATTTCTAAATCCACGATGGCGGGCACGATTTTTCAAAAAACCCAGTAAACGATACCCAGAATCAAAATCAAAATAATCTTTATTTCATAGGTAAGCATTATTACACTAGAAGTCGTCACATTGGTTAAACTCTACCGCTCATTCGTAAGGCAGATTCCCCCGAGAAGTATGAGCAAGAAACTCTAGGGGTTGCTCTTTGTAAACAACATTTGTACGCTTTTAACTTGCAGAAATGGAAGTCAAATGCGTAAGTGTGCATTATTTATTAATTAGAATAAAAAAAATCTGCAGCCGTCGCGATATTGCCTATTCTCAAAAAATTACGTAATATAATTATTTTGAAACAGAATAGCAAAACTGGGAGAAAGAAATCCGTTACTTTGCAACATTTTCGTGTCTTGTTGCAACAAAATTAATTTTCGGTTTTAGTGAATATTTATATAAAAATACAAGTTGAAACGTGTTACTTCCTTGTGGAATGTGATGATAGTGTCTATTTTATGTTTGCCTGTTCTATTTTCGTAAAATAATAGTTCTTTGAGTTTTTGGAATTGGACGCAATAACGAAATTAATAAAAGCGGTGACCTACGGAATGCCTACGGATGTAATTTATTTAACAGCTCAACTTCTGAAAATAGATAGCATTGTATTCAGACTTTTGCGTCATTCGGTTCAGGTCAAGTTCGGGTCTCCTCTCCCTCACCCAGAGGTAAAGCTGAAATAGTACAGCGCCAACAACTGACCTGTGTGTAGCGTCTCCGTATATTCCAAAAATATTATGTATTTATTGTAATAAAGATAATACCTCTAACAATGGGGGGTTATTCCATTCAGTGGTGTGGGAAAAACAGCAAAACATCTAATTTCAAAACAAACGGAATCACATTTCATCGGTAATAAATATTTAATATTTAATTTTTCAATCTTGGTCCATTATAGCAAAGCTCAAGTTAAACTGATCGATTTGAAGTGAAACAATTGACGACACCCGTCAAATGTGTGACGGTGTGATCTCCTTGCATCGTCATTCCACCTTTCTATCGCTTTTCTCCGGTTCCTGGCCACTCGTAGTTAAATTTAAATTTTGATTACCATAGTTCTTTGGCCTCGCATTCTGATTTTGTTTCGTTTCATCGTCATTCCCCGCTCGATTGCCCGATCGCGGCAGCGAGCACGTCTTCTCTTCGTATTTATTTTTGAGCCGTTTACCAGTTACTAAAAATCTCTTGTAAATACGATAAACGTTTTGAAGATGATAAATATTATTAAAACTGGAATAAATATTTATAAAACTGTATTTATTAACACCAGTTCTTTGCCCTTTTGAACTCCTGAACGTTAAACTCACTAGCACACTCTGCGGTTGACAGAACATCCCAAGCGGCTACATTATAATCGACACAACGTCCCACCAGCGGTATACCTCACAATTGTTTCGAATTCGGGCCGGCCAATCGGAGTTGTCACCGCAATGATTTGGCAGAATAGTTTTCAAATAAATTAAATGCCATTTCGTCTCTATTTCTGGTTATACATATAGCATAGCCTCATGACGGTTACCATGTCGGACTGCCACGCAGAGGTCCCAGGTTCGATTCCCGGGCCAGGAGAAATATTTGTATGGCTTACATTTATTTCTCTCATGGATTTGGGTGTAATTTGTGGTTGTCTATGTGTGTGTCCATGGCACCCGCGACACAGGGTTTCCCTAGTGCGGGGCTATGTTGAGTGTGAGCGTTATTATTATTATAAGTTTATATAAACATATACTCGATGTCCGCGGCCCTGGATTTTTCCCTGTAGAATGAGTTTCAATAGAGAGTATTTTTCACTCCGCATGAGTATTGCAGATTCCTACTTTTTACTGCTTTCAGGAGCTCCAAGCCTTTGTGCATCCTCTGCAATACATTGTCATCGGTGGCTATCCGTCTACGATATTGTCAATATTCTTTGATAAAATTAGTACACTATGTAGTATAAACTCGAAAATGACTCGAGTGCGATGAACGGATGATTTCAAATGAATGCTGAACGACGCTTGTATTGTTTGATGACCTATATGATCCATCGATTAGCATTCTGGGTTAAAAGGGTCGGTTCAAAGTGTTTCAACAGTAATTCCAAAGATTCCAAGTAAGTTTCATGAGATTTACCGTTTTTGCAAGACTGGTAAGTAGGGAACAACAACGTAATAATTTATTTATTTGGTATCCCAACAGAACAACGTTTGGTATTCCCAGGTATTCCTTGTGTATTCAAAGGGCGCCAGACGGCTTGATAAATACGTTGAATAAAAACTTTTTTTGGATTTTCTTTTTATTTCTTAATTTAGAACTCCTTACTAAGAAACCGACGTTACCTTTTAAAATTAGAGCAAAAAAAATTTTTTATATAAATTAGGTGGGGTGGATATATTTTTAAAAGATGGAGAGAAAACAGAATTTCGAGTAAACCGTTTCTGATCCGTAAATAAAACATCAAAATTTGCCGAATTATGATACAAACTATTGTCACACACCCCGTATTCACAAGATGGGGCCAACATTTGTCTTTTTTATCTGATTTTTTACCGATTTGCATCAAATGAGGAAGTGATAGTTGAAACAGAGGCTTGATAAAAAATTATTTTTTTAATGGGTTGAAGATGTTTGGATGTCGCTGGTCGGAAGAGTTAAAAGTATATTACGTAGAAAAATAAACAATAATTAAAAAAACATTTTCTTTTTTTCAAAACGACGGTATCACAAACGTTCCAACCCGAGACAATATAGAAATAAGTTTTCTACATTGACCCGGCCGGGGATCGAACCCGGGACCTCAGACATGGCGACATCATGAAAACCGGCGTACAAGCCACTCGACGGCCGAAAAATGTATTAATATAAATTTTTAAATCATCGTCATAAATCCTCGTGGCTTATGCGTTATAACTATGTCTATGAATTATAGGGAGAAAAATAAAGTCATACCGCAATAAAAAACCTGTTTCTATCGATATTCGTTTAGTTAATAAAATACACATACTGCCTTAATTTAATGCTTATGAGAAAGTAAAGTACATACGTTTCAAATCGTCGGTATATTAACTACGAATGGTGTAAAATATACTTCCGGACACAATTTGAGCCACCTCGCTTTTATGTTGTAAAGGGCTAGAAAACAAAAATAGTGTCTGCCGTCCTTATCACAACTAACGTAATCGCATTTTTGGCGAAATTGAGTTATTAGCATATCTGGAATCAGCGAAACAAGATCTACAACCCTCTATAAGCGATTTTTTAATATATAATAAAATCAGGGTTATTGACATTTTTCAAAGAAAATAAAACTTTAGGTGCAATATCTGGAAAGTTACCAAAATGCGAATGCGTTAGTCCTGATAAGGAAAGCACTGTTATTCCCAACAAGGACTGACGGAAAAGAAGATTAGTATACTAGTTTCAAATTTGTGTAATAGTTTTTGATCAATCAAACATTGTTTAAGCTTAGGGCACTTAATACTGAAAATGCTTGGTGGAATTATGTGTCCGAAAGTGTATAATTAAAAAATCCTTCATTATTGAAATGTAAACCTTTACTTGAGTGCTACAATACTAAAAATATTCTAGGATCCCTGTGATAGTTCATAAAAATCTACACAGTATAACCTTGTAACGACGTGCACTAATTTACGTATTACATAAACTATTTTTCTAAGCCTCGCTTTTAAATGAATAGCCTTTGTTTAAGTAATACATTAAGTCAAAGTAAAAATAACACCAAAGCAATGTTTATTGATAAAGAAATGAGCGGAAAAATATTTTTTCCAAAATTCATTAATTTTTTACGACAACGTGGAAAGGTTACTTCATTACATTACTTCATTACTGATAGAGATGACGAATATCAATAGAAAAAAATTATAATTTAATGAGTAAATGTGTAGTTCGGGCATTCATTCTTAAAGTATGAATTTTAAAATAGGCAATAAATTAACATGTCAGTATCGATGGAACGCCGCATCTATTGATGCGGCGTTCCTTACACACGCTTTGTTTCACTGATGTGCGGTGAAGATGCTATACATAATTTTTTTGGTAGTCAAACATTCAAGATGGCGGACACCGCTGTCGTCCTGTTTGAAAATTAATTTACATCGCCGTGTTTCTTACATTTCGCTATTTGACTAATGTGTGAACATAAATTTAAAGTTTTAAATTATTCACATTGATTCGGTAAGTAATGTTGTGATATTTGATTAATTTTTACAAAATTTCATACTCTATATTTCTATATCGTTTGGCAAGCATGCAATGACGCGTGATAAAACAAGATAAAACATAAATCATAGATTAATAAGCAACAGAGTGTTCTGACTACACAATAACAAAGTATGTGTAATCTTAGAATAATAACGCATAGAAAGATAGTTTCATATCAAACGAACTGTCACAAGTGAGGCAAAAATCAAATTCATGTAGGCTAGTTTTAGTAGTAGGTTAATTTTCGGTTTTAGTGAATATTTATATAATAATACAAGTTGAAACGCGTTACTTCCTTGTGGAATATGATGTTAGTATCTATTTTATGTTTGTCTGACGTATTTCTACACAAATTTACCGCACATTTCGTCAGTTTTAGCTAAAATTCTTAAGCTGTTCGCGGTGCAAGTTGACCTTGAGCATTGACGGCCCGCCCGCTCGTGTAGGCCCTTTGGGAGCGCTTCAATTTGCCTCAGCGTGTGCGGTCTAGGTTTCTATGCGTTATTATTCTAAGTATAGAATTATAAATTGTAAGCGGAAGGCCTCTGGGTCAAAGCAAAATGGAATGTGTTGTACGTCTATTCACGGTACTACGGTACTGATACTCTTTGACAACATTCAACACTAAAAGAACACACTACCCTATTGATAGTGTTTTATTTGGAGCTGTCTGGAACATGAAGTTGCTGTGAATGCTCTTGTCTATAGATTGAAGTCGTTGGTCAGGATTATTACTTTTTTGAAACCTGTAAATTAATGACATGATAAATGCTTTTTGAAATTTTCTAAAATATCTATTGAAAGAGTATTTAGATTATAGTTGTGAGTTTTATGCGTTTAATATAATATAAACCCTTTTTCACGTGTATACATCGTTCACAACACGTCAGAAAAATAAAAGTTTAAGAGAGAAGTTCGGCTTCAAAAATCAAATACACTAAAAATCTGTCGAGTTTGCGTCATCCCCATGACAAACGTTGAATGAAGTGTCTCTCTTCAGTCATCTTCCTTTATTTTTTTCCATCCCCTATGGATAAATGAAGGGATCATCCTAGTTTACGTTTGGCATAAATGCGCGGTTAATGTAATAATCAATCCAGGAAACGCGTTCAAAACCGTTTTAAAACAAACTTATATGTCCTGCTATGTTTAATTTACCGATTACTATCGCATCTTCTCAACTTGGCTTTTTTTACTTACAGATGTTTTTATTAAATTATTGTTTTTATTTGTATCACTATTCAATGCGTTGTGTTTACTGAAATTGTTTTTCTCATTTTTTTCGTCATTCCTCTTCTTGATGTAGCTGTTGACGTAGAAATTTCCGAACAAATATAGGAATAGAAAGAAGTTGGACCAGATCAATGTTAATAAGAAGTAGGAAAGTCGACATTGTGTGAGAGTCGTGTTTATTTGGATATGAATCATGACGGCCACGAATTGAATCTGAAATTAGAGAAAAAATATAAGTGAACCAAATTAACAACGAGAAAGTTCTACGATTATAGTTGGATATAAACGAAAGTTTTTGCAAGTAACATCGGTTGTTGCATATTTGGTAGATATGCTAGACATCACACGATCGATACTAGGCCCTACAAGTTATAACAAGGAAAAACCCGCTGGTCATAGAAAAAAAAAATGTCTGCGGAACATATAACGGGGGATTGAGATCGCTGAAGTAGTTAAGCGATGTGAATGAATTACTAGATGTCACTTTGGAAATGAAACTAAATACTATAGTTCAGATAGGGCGGGTTGCATTAATATTATAAATAACTGATTGAAGACTTATACACCTTCTCAGTTAACCGTGACGTGGCGGTGACCATGAGACCCTGGATAACGTAAAAGCCCAAAACGTTGGTTTATTTGTAAAAATACACATATACCAAAGAACAATGGCAAAATCATAGGTAAAAGAAATCGGTAGCGTCTTCAAATGTCTTAATTATAAGTTTGAAACAAATAAATAAATTAGGTTTTTCAAATTAAAACAGCGGCCTATATAAGTCTGGAAATAAAATCATATTCAAAAAAACTCTAATGACTAATTAGTACTAACTACTAGTTTCTTAGTTTCTTAATGTTGAGCGACATCTAGGCGCCAAAAAAGGAATTTCAGTACCTACGTATGGATATGGCCCACATTTAGTACACGTAATATCAAATGTACTGATTCGATATTACAAAAAAATAAAGTCTATAATTTCTTCTTCAAAATGCTTAGACTGTTTCCATCCTTTAAGCCAAAATGCCACAGAGAACATTTTCTATGTGGCATTTTGATAAACATCATTTTTTGATAAAGCTGACAAAAATTTCCCAAAATCAGGGCTAGACAGCAAGTTTCACAAAAAAAGAAAATTGTGTACAAGTGACCAGTTCAATAGTTTGTGGTATGTTATTAATTAATTTAGTTTTTTTGTTCTGGTTTAACCTCATGCCTTTAGATTATACCAGTATTTAAAATAGTTTCCTCTGAACTTTCGTCTCGTCACAAAAACAGCACCATCCATCTTCTATTTACTTTGTTTAAGACTTCTGTAGTTTATTTGGTATAATAATACGAATATATTTTATTCAATTACGTAACACGTGACCTCCAAAACTTCAAACTGGAATATCGTTAATTCCTCACTTTTCTGAATATTAAACCCAAAGCAAAATTTGTTCAGGAATTTCAACTTTGTATTTTCACATATTTTTCATAAACAGACGCATACAAATTATATCATCAAAATTTTGTACGGGACTATGCCATTGTCCTTTAGATCCGAAACAATAGTTTCATTTCCAATGTGTATTAATCACGAAACCCCAAGAACCCGATACTTTTATCACAACTGGAACTCACCAATTGCATTTTCGTAATATACTTTTTCCACCACAAATACTTTCTCAAACTGGGGAATGCAGCCATCCCATAATAAGCGTACATAATAATATGTACGAAGGAATTCACGGTTCCTAGTAAAAACAGACTGTAGGATGGTTCGTATTTCAAGGTCACCCACGTTCCAATGAACATCAGTGTATGGTGATACACGTGAAGGAAGGAAACTTGATTCCATTTCTTTCGAAGCACGAAGAAAACTGTGTCCAAAAGTTCTGAAAGTTTCGCTAGGAAGTAGTAATAGTGACCTTTGCCAACCTGATGAAATGAAAAATAAAAACTTATAAAGGCTCTTTACTTTAGATATTAAAATTACTAATTCTTACTCAAGATGAACGTTGATAGCAAAACTGTATACAATAGTACCCCGTGACAATTGATATTATTGGTGATAAATCTGTCCTTGTTTAGGAATTTGTAAAGGGGAATACGCAAAAATTTATTCAAATCTACTTTAGTACTATAATCTATTTGATTTCTTACCACATATCGAAACGTTTCAGAATGAAACCAGCAAGTATTCCACTCTAGAAGTCCCTTATTCATTATAGTTTGGACTCCCTGAAAATATAAAGTCAACATTTAACACTTAGTGTACATTGCAGGTCTGTCACACAGTTCCGGGTCAAAGATCCATCACTATTTCATTATAAACAGAAAAAATATTTTATGTAAATTTGTTCGTGCATGAAAGGAGTCTCCCAGCAATGGCATGCTATTTGTATCCTCAGCCACACTGGGCAACAATTATCGTGTAGGCAGTTGTGGTGATGACAGATGAAGTAAAGCGACAGCCGAATGGTGGCGAAGAAAGGGTTACAGAAACGTGTTACGATCAACAGCGAGATATGTGAGATGGTGGCACAGGCTACGAGAGGTCATATATAGATTTGCATACTAAGCAAAGGCTGAAGTCGATCTATGGATAATGATTGAACAAGACTTACATCAAGATTAGCACTCAACGAACTCTGTATGCACTGATGCAGATTTTTCTGGTATTATGAACCATACGGATAACTGATGGTATTTTTCTGATAGAGTACTAAGCCTAGATGAAGCGGAGCTTGGAAACCCCAGAACTGTGTGGACAAACCATTAGAAGAAATATGAACTATCTAAATTAACTCTAAATGTATTGATGAAAATGAAACTGACACTACCAACGAACTCTTAGATAGACAAGAGGGCATTGTTGTAAAAAATTCAAATAAATGGTAAAACTTTGCAAATTATTCAACTTGCAGGTTTTCTTTTCAATATTGTTGTTAAATATTCGTTTCCTACTTTTAGTTATTGCTAAAGCAACCTTGGAATAGAAAATTTTCTCTTCCATTTTTTTCTACTGTGCAAATTAGCACAATTACCAAAATTATTACAGTTCCTTAGACTTGTAACTGTAATATTCTTATGAAAATTCTAATATCATTACTTAAAATAAGTTTAGCGACAAACTGTTAAACAAAATGTTTAAGGGAATGGTAATATGGTAAAATGGTAATAACATATTTGTATTTTTTTATTCAGAACTTACATATTGAGAGATATAGCAGGAAACGAAGACTTGTACAATATTATAAACTAAGATAATGTTTTTTAGATTATATGGTTGTTTGCCCTTCATGTATGCTGGGCCAAGTTTGAATACGAAGAGGAGATACGAGGCTGTAATAAACAGCATGGGCCATGGTGAGCTCATTAGAGGCCATCTGTCTACGAATTCCCCTGAAAGTAAAAATAACATTAATAATATATACATATTCATTAACGTATAGAGCACAAATGTTTTGAGTATCAATTGTGAACCGAATTCGATTACAATTGTGAATTTGGTAGGATATGATTTCGTTTTGGTAAGTTAATTTACATTAAGTAGGTTTACGTTTAGGCTTAGGTCGATTTACTTTAGGGAGACATTTTCATCATCACCATCTCACTGTCTCAATTCTTCATATTCAAATGCCTACGTAACGTATTTATATTTTATTTGAAATATCCAATGAATTATCTAGTTTTTTCAAACAAAGCAACGTTTCGGGCTCTTTACTTGGTTCTATATCACGGCTGTCAGCTAGTTGTTCATAAGTTTGATAAAAAAAATGGTTATACTTAAAAATAGAGCAAGATCAAATGAAATACTTTCAGTTTATTTAAATTAAATAACAATGTAAACCTACGAACGAAACTGAGCAAATAACAACAACAGAGAACAAAGCAAAAGGCGACAAAAACGAGTACATTCAAATTTTGTGTTTCAATCTAAGGGTCGTATTCCAGAACTCTACTCAATGCTCAAGTCAGGACTGCAATATGATTTCATGCACTAAAAATCATACTCAAGTCCTGACTAGAGTATTGAGTAAAGTTCTGGAATTCGACCCTAAAACTGAAGTGTTAAAAATATCCACAAAACGGATAAAAAAAAAAACATTTAAAAAATCGGAAAAAATTCAAAACATTACATGTTTAATATTTAATTACCATTGACCTACCAATAGGTCAATGTTAATTACCGATGAAATGTGATTCCGTTCGTTTTGTAATTAGATGTTTTCCTGTTTTTTTCCACATCACCGAACATAGAACAGCACGGCATTGTTAGAGATATTATCTTTATTACAATAAATACAGAATATTTTTTGCAATATACGGAGACGTACACACAGGTCAGTAGTTGGCCTGTCTATATTTCAGTGCAAACGAGAGTTGATATTTATAAGAGCTGTATCGCTAATGTGTTACCAGGAATATATGGTCCTTATTTCGTCTTTATTTCTGGTTATACTCGATGGTGTACCCATTAAGTAAAAGAAGCGTTAATGGCTTTATTCCCATCTTGACCCATCGCACCAGTCATGGGTGCAGTAAATACTTTTTCTGAATTCTGGTTTTCAATTATTTATTTACTCAACAGATCGTTTTTTATAACAGTGGCTATTTCGTAAAATACCGACAGCCAACTCCTTTGTTACTAATTCAACAAATTATTTACATATAAATATTATCAAGTGTAGAATTAAGTGCAAATGCGTAAAAGTAAAAGTGGTTTGCACTGTACAGATGGCACGTGTGTTACCGAGACGGTTCACTCTTTTGTTCTTTTATACTGTAAAGATTAAGTGATAAGACGAATCTGAGGAAACAACATTTCGCCAACTTGTACCAACTAATCGGCCGGTGAAAAAGACGGACTTAAGTACGCATGATTCAGAAGTATGAAAAGGAAGATGCAAAGGAGTGAAGCTCTTGCAAGTGTTATCTTGTACTATTTTTGAAAAATATTAATATGTTTGGCTAGGTTAGGGGTACCTTAGAAGTTTGTGCACCATTTTGTGAAACATAAATAGAGAAATATTAGACAATATCATATACGTCGCTCTGATCACAAAGTAAGTAACTAAAGCACCTGCGTTGTGGAAATAACGACGGTATCACAAACAATCCAAACAAAAACAAAAAATCACATACACCCAGACCCGAAATAATATAGGAAAGTTTTTCTACAGACCTCAGAGTTGGCGACACCATGAAAACTGGTGTGCAAGCTAAAAAATACAGTTAAATGAACGTAATATTTAATTTTATTTCTGTTTTCTTGCTTTCATTACACCATTTTAGATTATTTATTTCGACCGTTTTATAAAAAGTACACTATATTGTTTTCACAAATAAATACTTAATGGTTCTTAAGACAGTTTCCATGTATCTTCTATGGTTTCCGATTTCTCCATACTGTAGCATTAAAAAAAAAAAAACACTGTATATAAAATTTGAAACCAAATAAATAATTACTCACATTGCTCTTTAAAATTAAATACGTATTTGTCTGTTATATTTGAAGTCGCCATTTTTCTGTTTCACTTTCTCTTACTTTTGTAATTAACGACTCTATGTTCCTGCCACCGGCGCGACGTGCCCGACCACGTCCGGGCGTATGTCGTATTTTCTATTGACAAAATGTATATAATATATATTTAACAATAATTTGAATTGTTAAGTATTTGTCACAAGCGGTTCAATGTCCAAGTTTTGGGTCGCAATTCTAGTGCAGGGTGGCCTAACAATGACACTATAAATTGTAATCTTCTCGTTACTAGTCGCGTGGTCGTCGCCATATCGAAATGAGCTGGTTTGAATAATTGAAAACGACGTAAAAAAATTGAAGTGTTGTACTTATGTTTCATATATATTCTATTTCAGTCATAAATAATATGTGTGAAAAAAAGTATCTATTGTCAATTGGTCAGCGGTTTTTTTCATTTACCGTGTCAATAGTTCAATGTGGTTAATTAAACACCTAATATTCCATAAGAGACCGCTGGCCCAAAAGATTTCACACGTTTACCGAGTGTTGCGAACCTTCTTTGACGTATAAGTTTCATCACGACGTTTTCCTTCACCGAAAAGCTCATGATATATTTCAAGTTAAATTTCGCACATAAATTCCGAAAAACTCAGAGGTGCACGCCCGAATTAGAATTCACGGCCTCTGCTTGTGAGGCGGTAGGCTAGGAAACCATTACACTGCCACTAGTTCACTATACTATACGGTTTATAAATAGTGCATTTAACATTACATATTCTCAATAGGAAAGTTACTTTAAAACGTATGTGCCTGTGTTAAGGGTGATTTATTACAAATTGCATAAATTTTCAATGCGTGAGAGCGTGTTGGTGATTTGGTGAATTATATCGAAATAAGATCAAATAGTTTGTTATAATTATTAATACAAAGTTCGAACACTCATAAAAAATTTCTTCGATCCGGCCGGATTCGAACCGACTTCTTCTAGCTTACCGTGCCAGACGCTATACCAAATAACCCACGGAACGAACCAGCGGACCTCACGAATTTTTCGATGTGCTTGCGTCGTGTCTTTGTATTTGGTTTTTTCAACGACTTTTT